AAAAATAATAATAATACGAAGAAGAAAAAGAAAAGGAACAAGAACAAGAAAAAAAGACACGCATCCACACACTCACCTATCTACCGAAATCTCAACAAGCAAACCCATCATTACCTAGAGTGGAAACGAGCCTAATCCGTAAACAAGCCCATCGAGGGAGTTTGATCACCCTTTTAGACTGGAAGTAAAAGTAGAATGACCTGTTAACGTTACTTATGGTTGACATACAGAAAACAAAATACATGGCCATTCACTCTCGACAAAAAATAAATAAATAAAAAATAAAAATTGAGGACACGGTGAAGAAGGAAAGGAAAAATATTTTACGCTGATAGCCCTCGACGGTTAGATTGGGTGAATACGATCAAGGAATTGGTACATTGTGATTGCCTTGATCAGTTATCGAAAGTTAAAGTTAGTGCTTTCCTTTTTTTCTTGTTTGAACTCTTCCTTTTCCTTCCTCCTTCTCCATTTTCTCTGTTTCCTCTTAATTCTCCTCCCGTATTCCTCAAAAACACCGCCTCCACCACAACTTCTTTTTCCATGTTTTTCTTCTTCTTCTTCTTCTTCTTCTTCTTCTTCTTCTTCTTCTTCTTCTTCTTCTTCTTCTTCTTCTCTTCTCTCTTCCTCTCCCTCCTTCCTCCCTCCTCTCTCCTCCTCCTCCTCCTCCTCCTCCTCCTCCTCCCCTCTCTCCTCCTCCTCCTCTCCTCCTCCTCCTCTCCCCTCCCTCCTCCTCCTCTTCCTCCTTCCCTTCCCTCCTCCCCTTCCCCTCCCCTCCTCCTCCTTCTCCTCCTCTCCGTCTCCTTCTTCTTCTCCATCTACTTTTTATTCTACTCCTCCTTTATATTCTCCTCGTCTTCCTTTTTATTCACTCAAGAAAAGCAGACTCGAGTTTCTCGATTTTTCTTTACCTCCTTTGTTCATTAGGCTAGGCACTCGTTGCTATAAACAGAATATTAATCATATATATATGAATTCGTAAAAATATTTGAACTGTAATAAAATAATTTCACGACACATTGAAGGTAATTCCTCTCTCATTACCCGAGAAACCGTGTCGGGTAATCTTAATAATCATTATCGATAAGGAAAAGCATATATTCTTTAGTCTGGCCTCGAGAACGTTGCTAACCGTTTTCTTTGCCAGACGATTGTTCCCTTGGGAAAAAAAAAAATAATAATAATAATAATAATAATAATAATAATAACAATTATAAATAATGATAATAATAATAGTGATAATAATAGTAGTAGTAGTAGTAATAATAATAATAAACTGTTTCTTTGGGTCAAGAGGAAGATTTTCTCTTTTCTCCTACTGCTCTTCTACAACTTTTTTTATTATCTTTTCATTTTTTTCCTCTTTGCCTTCTCCTAAATCTCTCTTCCATTGCTTTTTCTCTCCCTTCTCCTTCTCCATCCTTCTCCCATTTTCCCTCCTCCACTACTTTTTCCTCTTCTTTCATATTCTATTTTATCCTTCTCCCACTCTCCTCTTTTTCCTTTTCTCCTCCTTTCTTCTTCCTTTTCCCTTCTTCATTCTCCTTTTCGTCTCTCCTCCCTTTATCCCCATTTTTTTCTTCCTTCTCCACTTTTCCCCGTTTCCTCTTCCCCTTCTCCTTCTCCCTTTTGTCTCCATACTGTTCTCTCCTTCCTTTCCTCCCCTTCTCCCTTTCTTCTCCTCTCCCTCTCCCTTGTTCGACCTTGTCTCCCTACTTGCCATACTCTTCCCTTCCATAGACTATATCCCAGTTGAAGGTCTCTCCCTATCTGCCCCCCCCTCGCCCGCTCCTCCCTCAAACCCCCTTCCTCCCTTCCCTCCCCTCTCCCTCCCGCTCCTCCTCCAAATCCTTCCACTTCTTGCGTCCTTCTCCCTTTCATTCTTCCTCCCTTTTCCTCCGCCCTTTCATTCTCCTTCCCTTTTTATTCCTCTATCGCTCCTCCTCTTCTTGCGCCCTTCTCTCACCCCTCCTCCCTCTTTCTCTCTCCCTTCGTCTTCCTTTTCCTCCTCCTCCCTTTTCCTCTTCCTCCCTTTCTCTCCCTCCGCCGTCCTCCTCCCTCCTCCTTTCCTTTTCCTCCCTTTCCCTCCTCCTCGATTTCCCTCCCCCTCGCTTTTCCTCTTCCTCCCTTTTCCTCTTCCTCCCACTCTCTCCCTGTATCGTTCCTCCTCCCTTTATCTCCTCCTCCCTTTATCTCCTTCCCCTACCTACCGTAGCCTCCTTCACCTACATTTCCCCGGCGGCGTATTACCATAGGAGCCTATAATCCCCTTTAAAGCTGCAGGACCAGGTTAGAGCAGGAGGAGGAGGATGAGAAGGAGAGAAGAGGGGTGGAGGAGGAGGAGGAGGGGGTGGGAGGAGGAGGAGGAGGTGGACGAGGGGGTGGGGGGGGAGGAGGAGGGGAAGAGGGGTTGGGGAGGAGGTGGAAGAGGGGGTGGGGGAGGAGGAGGAGGAGGTGGAAGAGGGGGTGGGGGAGGAGGAGAGGAGGAGGAGGAGGAGGG